TGGACGAGTGCCACTGAACCTTGGTGTTGCTCCATCCCATTGTGGCCTCAGAAGCCATAAACTTACTGAGATCTGTAATGGTATTGATGGAACAATGTATTTTTCATAGCTGCTCACCTGCCAAGCCAATGAGTCTGCCTGTTCCTGGAGAGCAAGAAAAACTATTACTAATACACTGCAAATCCTGGCATGTTGCCTGAAAATAACTTTGTTCCGCAACCACTTGGCTGCTCCCAGGTTTACTTTTCATTTGCAAATATGGTCACTGCTTAGACTGATGGTCATTCACACAGGCTGTGTTGATCATGTGGCATGTTTTCTGTTCTGTTGGATAATTCTTATAGTGCCCAGAAACTTCATCCAAGCTGGGACCTGACTGTGGTAGGAGCTGTACAAAGATGTGGCTGTTGATTCTCATTTAAACTAAAGCTGATGTAAAGGGGGACAGGTCTTAGTGTAAAATGGGAGTCAGGCTTGTAGTAAATGTCAGCTGTTGCCCCAAGGAGCTTACAGCCTCAGAGATCACCGCTGCAGCTAAACCTCACAGCACAAATGCAAGACCTTTGGGACATTTAGACCCATTGCTTTGCATGGGGCAGAGAGCCCAGTAGTCCCAGTGGAGAAGCCGCCCTTTGTATTTTGCAGTTGACTATATAAATCTGAATCCACTTGCAGCCTATTGTAGGAGAATTTGTGCTTCACGTTTGCCTTCTGAGAGTATTTGTGCTAGGATAGCTGCACTTCTGCTTATGATTTTGGTGAAAACATGCCAGTTTGTACATGACACAGAACTACGGAGTGCCGGCTCTGAACAGACACTCTGGCAACTCCCTTCTCAGAGGGTGGATCTATATGTGTGCTTTAATATGCAGTAGCCTATTCTATTGCACATTAAAATGGTGTGTAAAAAGCCATGCTAATATGCTAATGCACAATAAAATAGGCTACTGTGCATAAAATGTCTCTAAAAAAGCATGCACTTGGACTACTGTGCATTAGTGCAGCCTAGTGTCCATTAATTTAGTACCCCATGTTGGAGGTACTACATTTAATGCAAATTAGTAAAAGCGCGTTAATGCATGTGTAGACATGCCCAGCAAGGATAGCCCAGGTCCAATCCAAACTCACCATAGGTTTTGGGGGTGAGATTTTTAAAAGCTGACAGAACTGGCTTCATTCTGCAGCCACTGAAGTTGACAGAGCCTCACCCCTGACTCTGGCGGGTGCTGGGTTGTGCCTTGCCAAATGGTTTGAAAAACATCTTGTGACTTAGTATTTGCAACTCTCTTTAGGCTGAGCTGTGGCCACGGGCTTAGTTTCATAGTTTCTAGGGTCGGAAGGGACCTGAACCGATCATCAAGTCCAACACTCTGCCCTGGGCG